TTCAAATATGCTGCCGCACATGTTAGCCGACAAAAGGATGACGAATTATTCTTAAGTGCTGAAAGAGCTTTACTCTAATTGGGTCATTGTGACTAGTGCATTTTCCCCTGCAGCTACAGTGAAAAACAAAATATTTAGCACGTTGTAGCAACAGGTTTACTACACGTGAGTGAATCAAGTGAAGCTTTGCTTGTGTATATGTGGTCTACATCCAGAGAAGTCATTGACAAAAAAGGTTTTAAAAAAATCTTTTAGTATTAAGTATTGTTATTATTGTTGATAATTTATTAATCATTAATTTATTCATTTGCTTATACCAGAGATGTCAAACTCATTTTGGACCATCACTCATGTCGTATACAAACTAATTAGATACCTGTAAATAAAAAAAATTCCGGCCTGATTGAAACCCCAAGGAGGCCCAGTTTTTGGCCCACAGGCCATATGTTTGACACCCCTGGTTTATACACTTATTCTGTGCTTTTCTTCCATTTATGACATTATTATTACTTTGGTAATTTAACATCATTTCCAGTGTTAGACAGGCCTGTTGGCTACTCATCTAGTCCTATAATATTTTGTGTAAGTGATTCATAAGTGATTATGTACAGCACCCCCCACCCCTCCCAGTGGAGTGACTCTCAGATCTCATTAAGTGATCATGTACAGCACCCCCCACCCCCACCTCCTCCCAGTGGAGTGACTCTCAGATCTCTTACAGAAAGCTGTCTGTATGGGGTTCCCCTGGCCACGATGCTGGAGAACGACCAGAAAATAAAGCCCAACACATCAATCCCACTTTTCCTGCAGGCGGTGAGAACTTAAATCATATGTGTACGATTTGAACTGCTGTGCTTTAATGTAAATCCAACATATGAAGCTGAATTGCTGTAATGCCAACATAGTTAGTTTGTCTGTAATGCAAGAAAAAAACAGGTGTGTCGCTGCGACCTCTGGCTGTGACTTTGTCTCTCATTCATTCTTCTTTTTGTGTTCTCCCTGCAGTTGTTGTCATTTTTGGACAAAAAAGGTCTCGACTCAGAGGGGATCCTGCGGGTTCCAGGATCGCAATCCAGAATCAAGGTACAAATTTTGCAGGCACACCTACTACCATTACAAGAAATTACATGTCTGTAGAGTAAATACAAGAGCATGTAAAGATAAATAAATCCTACCGACAAGTACAAAAATATATGGAAAAAATAATAATTCTGAGGTAACAAAGATTTGTTTTTTTTAAACTTCGGCTGTTTTTCAACAGTTTGAAAGCTGCAGCTGAAGTAAAGAAGTAAATTCACGTGGGCAGTATATATTGAATTACGAGGGTTTTACCACCAGGGGGCGCCAATGCTCGCTGAAACAGCTTAACTATACATATGAAATACAAAAAAATAAAACATAAGAGGAATATGAACTAAATAAAACAGATTCTGACGTCATTTGTTTACAACTCAATTGTTCTTGTCCTTAAATTAAGGTGGAACTTTAAATTTGATTTAATACTTTGATTTAATAAAGGTAAGATTATTGTATTTTTATGGAAATATTTAAGATTTAATAAAGGTAAAATTATTGTATTTTTATGGAAATATTTAATGGAGCAACTTATTATTTATTTGAGGATTTACTGGCTTATATACTTCTGTTAAAGCCTTCATATTTGAGGATTTACGGGCTTATATACTTCTGTTAAAGCCTTCAAACACCCATATCAGAAGGTTCTGGATGTTCCTAGAACCAGACTTGTAAACATGAAGGCTGGTGGTTTCTGGTTTTGTTTGTTTGTTGTTGTCTTTTTGTCCCTTCTTCGTAATCAGACTAAACCTCCGAAAAAATCCCAAGTTAACAAAAGCATTTTAAAAATATACCTAATAAATAAAGTTAAAGCTATAAAGCCTAATTACAGGAACATACAAAAATATAGAGATTAACAGTTAACTAACAGTTTATAGGACATTGAGGCAGATTTGTGTTAACCTTGCTCCTACTGTACAGCTGCTGCAGCAGAACCTGGAGACCAACTTCTACTCTGGGCTGGTCAGCTGGGACGAAGTGAGTCCGAACGATGCTGCCGCACTGCTGAAAAAGTTCATCCGAGAACTGCCCGCTCCTCTGCTCACCCCCGAGTACCTGAACACCTTCAGCGCTGTCAGAGGTCAGTGGACGGACCATTTCTTAACTGTTTTGGATCAGAGAGGGAAGAAATGTATTATTTTTTAACATTCAGGAGTTTGTTTGTTTTTTTGCACATAACAAAATATCCTCCCAAGTACTTTCATGCTCTCATCAGTCTTCCTAAGTCATCTCTGATTGTAAACTTCAGCTTCTCTCACACTATCTACTACTACTACTCACATCTATCAAAAATGTCATTAATGTAATTTGATCGTGTCCCACTCACTGACTGCAGACACATAAACAAACAAACCTAATGACCGCCTGTCAGAGTGACATTAATCTTTGGACACACCATTAGACTGAGGCAAACATAGAGGAAATGAAGTATGTCCTCCAGCAGCTGTCAGTGTGAAAATAACAAACATGTGAAATTATATATTTTAATATAAGACGCAAACCCAGCCAAAGGCTGAAAAAAAGTGCGACTTTAGTCCGGAAAATATGGTACTTGCATAAGGTTAGAGTAAGGGGCAAGGGAATCCAACATGTCAAGTGCTCACACACACAAAATACCAGTGTTTGTGTGTGTGTGACTGTGCCCCATCTCACTTTTTTCTCGTCTTTTATGTTTTTACAGACATCACAGACCTGAAACAGAAACTTCATATGTTGAACCTGCTCGTCCTGCTGCTGCCTGAGCCCAACAGAAACACACTGAAGGTACAGGACACACACTTACACACACCTGATTAATGGCAATTACCTAAAATACATTTTATCATGGATTTTAGATCAACACAGTTATGCGTGAGAATTATTAATATTAAATACTAACATAAATGTCAAAATGTCCAGACATTTCAAGCCACAGACACATGATGGATTTTGATTGCTGGTGTGTTCCAGGCTCTCCTCGACTTCCTCAGTAAGGTGGTTTCCAGAGAGAAGAGGAACAAGATGAACCTGTGGGCCGTGGCCACCATCATGGCTCCAAACCTCTTCCTCCACAAAGCTGTGCCAAGTCGTCTGACGGAGGGGGCGGAGAAAGGACAGGCAGAGAAGGCGGCTGACGTTATGAGACTTCTCATCCGCTACCAGGACTTCCTGTGGATAGTAAGTGATGCGGTGTATAACGTGGGATGAATTTTAATGAATGATTTTAACCAGAATTTAACCGGCTCCTCACTTTCCCCTTCAGATCCCTAACTTCCTCCTGTACCAGGTTCGCAAGCTGAACGAGAACAGTAGCCGGCGTTACCAGTTCTACGATCGCCGCATCAAGAACCTTCTCAGGAAGATCCACACAGATAGCCGCGAGAAAACGGAAAAAAACAGCTCAGAGGTGAGCCCAACAGTTCCTTATCAGTACTTAAGGAGAGAAAGGCAATAACAGAGGGCTGTGGCAACATCTGCCATCATCCTGTAGGTCATTCACGTTTTTATCACATCCTCTGAGAGTCACACTAAATTATCATAAATCAAACTCAGCTCTCCGATATTACCATCATGAATAATCCACTGTTCCCCCGTTCTTTGTCTCTGAAGCACTGCCGTACAGTAAAGGTCCACGTGGGGGAGCTGGTGAGAGGCACCATGGAGTTTCAGCTCAGCATCAACTCACGAACCTCTGACCTGCTCTCTCAGTTTCACCGTCAGTTCCTTCGTAGCCCTGAAAAAGGAAAGGGCAAGATGCGAAGGTAAATAATAGTTTTACCTGAAAATTTAAGAGATTGTCCTTGACATAGAAGCTATTTTAATGCCTACTGTATATGCATCACACTGTCACATTAAGTGGAAGCTATTTTAATGTTGCCTACCGTATATGCATCACACTGTCACATTAAGTATATATGTATTATATATGTATAATATATATATATATATATATTATATAATTTCTAGCAGCAGGGTAGAAGCCAGTGCTCCTCTATTAAGGAATATATGACTTGATGTTTCTATTGAGAACATGCAGATTTATACTGCCTGTTGTACACAGACACCTGTTCTCTGCAACAATTGCAGTGTGTGAGCCACGTCAGATTCTTTTTAAATTTTTAAATTGGAATATAAGCCATGAAGTACTGTAGCTAATGTTAGCCCAAAATGTAGCAAAACACGTTAGTACTAATTATGAGTAACTAGTTACTTTTATTTTTAAAAAAATCCGACCTGAAACTCCGGTGTTTGTGTCTCTCCACAGGAATGGCTCTGTGACTTATTCAGACTGCGCTGTGTACGAGGTGGGAGGAAACATCGGTGAGTTGAGGGCTGTGAGCGGAGCAGCGGTGACATGTGCGCGTCCTTCTGCTCACTGAGCTGATGATGACGGGCAGACAGAAAGAAGCATTATGTAATGGAGTGTAGAAAAGCAAAGCAGACAGGAGGCCAGAGCATCTGCAGTTATCAGGGCAGACAAAGGCTCAGCACACACATAGCAGTACTCTCACACGAACACTGACACCACAGTACTTCAGCTGTGGACTAAACACAGTCTCATCCTGCACATTAGCAGTATAGAGTTTTTATCCCGAAAAGGAAATTGTCAGTCAAAGCCACATTAGTTCTTCGTACCTCCTCGTTCTTGGAAATGCAAAACACCAACTCCATTAAATCGGTGGTGCTAATAGAGCTTTTACAAAAATTAATACCTTAAGCAGAAGAAAAATATTTTCTTTTGTGTTAGAATTCTGGGTCACCTAATTCTAACAGGAATGAGATTCCGCTGTGCACCACTAGAGGGAGCCAAAGTACAACAAGAGGCATGCGTACCATAAGTTAAGAACCACTGATTTACAAACAAAAATCAGTTTGATTCTGTGACTGTGGTGACCTCTGATGAGAGGACGATCTGAAACTGAGTCCACTAATGAATGCAGCAGTAATAAAGTACATTACTGATACTAAATTTTAAATCAGATACAGCTGCCCGATGCCTTGTGTAAAACAAAAAAACTGTGTGTTTGCTGCAGGTGAGCACTGCCTGGATCTTGATACACACCTCCTGGATCTGTACAACAACAACCCCGGAGGGGAGTGGGTCATCAGGCTGAGACCCGGTGCCAGCAGAGGTCTGTAGTGCAGCAGCCGTGGACAGAACAGGAAACAGGTGTCTGAGGACAAGAGAAGAAGAGGAAAAAAATGAATCCACGCAGCCTCCTGTTCAACCTCGGAGCAACATGTCAGAGGGAGACAGATGGAGGAGGCAGAAGCAGAGGAGGGAGAATCTGCCCGGAGCAGAGCCTGAGAACTGCTTCAGATCAGATGGACTAACTCAGTGGAAAAGTTTTCTTTTCTCTCTTCCATCGTCATTTTCCTCAAATTCACCGTCCCTGTTCAAGCCACAACCCTGGAAGCGTGGCGCTGCTGACGTGATTCATTAGTTCCGACAGAGAACCTGCTGCACAGAACAGATGGGAACACAGAGAACCTCTGGCTACAGAGAGCCCAGGCTCCTGCTGTTGTCTCAGGCCAGTCACACAGAGTTTCTCTGCTTTATATTCATTCATCTGTCTGTTTGAAAAAAAAAAAACAACTAAAAATATTAGCTTCACACCGTTAGACACAAGTTCTTACAATTAGTTTTGATCAACAAAGCAAGAGAAATTAAGAGAAATTTAGTTTTAGTTTTTTTGAATCTTCTGTAATACTAAAAAAAAATATTTTAGACATGGACATTTTAAGTAAACTACTATTTTCACTGAACAAAAATATGAATCAGGAAAATTTCCCAAGCTAATTTTAAAAAAATGTTTACTTGTCTCCACAAAACAATGACTGTAAAACACTTAGTGTTTGTTCAGTCTAGTCATTTTCTGTGTTCAAATTTGTCTCTGCTGCGACCTTTCTGCAGCAGCTTCTCACCACCAAGAGGACACGCCCCTCACTTTGAGAACACCTCTTATAATTGTTTACTGAGATCAACCAAAAAAACCCTTCCTTGTTCCAAAAGAGATCAGATGAGTGGAGGCAGGTGACTTAAACCACACCTCAAGTAAGGACAGGAAATAAAAAGTATTTGAAATACATTAGGATCAATGCAGAAATAATTAACGTGAAACCTGAGCCTGAGACGCAGAATGGACTTTTTGTAAACAGACGAATCATTGACTAATTAACTGATTGATCTGCATTGGACTCTGCATTTTCTCTGACAGTGATTTTTAAGAAGAAAGGCAGGATTTCTCTGTGGTCTGTGGTCATTCACCTGTGCATGTGTGTGTTTGGGATAGACCTGATATCCCTGTTATCTATACAGCCCCATGGTCTCCTGGGCCTTATAAAAATCCATGGACTTCCAAGGACCCTTGACCTGCACTGAGGGGCTGCTCAGAGAGTCTCCTCCGTATTGACCCCTGGGGGAGATTCAGTGTCACAGCCTGAAGGACACTGAGTGTTTTTGTACAAAAGAAGGGAATTGTTCAGGCCACCACAGTGAAGCTGGTCTTCAGTGGGGCTGAGCTGACGTCTGGCTGTAATTATCTGTGTGAATGTGCTGCTGTCGTTGCTTCTCTATCTGATAAGTGTTCTGTGACTCACAGACAGTGTTGAGGATCCTGCTGCAGTATAACAAGCAGTGTGTGTTGTGTTAACTCGCCCGTACTCAGAATGGGAATTTACAGTGTTCTTGTACATATTTTTATGTCTATTTCTACATTTGTTTCCACTGAACGGTGCAGAAAAAAAACACCTTCCTGTGTACATACCCCTCAGACCTGCCCTCTGCTGCAACCAAGCACTAAACCCACGTCCGTGGAACTCTACCTTGTGACACGTTGTTCTTCCAAAAGCAGCTCAAGTTCATTTCAGACAGTATTTTCTACCAGACTGTGACTCGTTTCCCTCCTCGCCACCTGAGCGCCATGTTGGTGCTGCGCAGCCATTTTGTGGATGTGATCAGACGCTCCGCTCAGTAGATGGAGTAATGACGGGCCGACACCAGCACCGACATCTATCATCGGCCTCTGCTCCATCTCTGTCACCGGCCTCATAATGGACCATAATGGAGGTGCGGCGCTCGCATCACAAAGGCGCCGAGAAATCACTTTTCCTTGATAAGGACGGGGGTAATAAATGGCTGTTATAAATTCTGCTGCCCTGGACCTGACAGCAGCACCAGAGCGTGCCTGCATCATGGAACGCGTGTGTGTGTGCATGCATGTGTGTGATGAGCTTCATTACACAAGTCCAATTGGCCCTTGCCGGGGACACGGGCACAGCTCAGTGCCTCAGCACAAAGCAAGCTGATGAATCTGCCTCCTGCTGACAATCAGAGGAAGTAGGTCACCTCTGAGGCAGCAGTGAGCCTCCAAATACCCCCAGGAGCCAGGCACAGGGGTGTATGCATGCTGTCTAAACACACATGACACACACGTGGTTGGATCAAAATAAGGGTCGAAAGTTCACACGGTGCGGTTTTGTGATGAATCTGTGTTTGTGTAAATGTGAACGGGAGGGAAAAAAAGATAAACATCTTCAAATGTAAATATTTCCGTCATTGACTCAACGGTGTTTTGTAGACTCGTATTATCTTCATCTGCATCCAGCTTTAATTCAACGAAAGCTTCTCAGTCATCAGAATGTATATTTATGCCCTTGACACCAGTCGTTTGAACACCTTTTTTTGTAAAAGTACTTTTGTGTAGCCAAAAAAAAAAGACACTTTTACAGGATGTTGTTTTTATGTCAATAAATGTGAATCTGATTTGTTGTGTGAAATGATTTATATTTTTCAATATGGGGTAACGAGTGTGGAGGAGAGATGGTTATCAGAGGCCGCAGCTTCATTCATCACGTCAACAGTAACACACACACACACACATTTGTTAAAAACCAAGGAAATGTGAAGAGAACTATTGGTTCATTCAACAGAAATAATCAATAGAGATTAACCTTGTGAATGTGTGGCGGTGGAGAGGCGGCTGCTGCTCACTTCCTTGATTAACCATCACCACGTCTCCTTCAAACACCGTCCAACAACGGAGCGCCTCTTCAGCTCTGATTAGTCCTGGGTTTTTGAGCGTGTCCAGGCCGGTGCTGTGGACACAAAGGAAACCAAACTGGTGAAAAGGTGGGGGAGGTGGAAATATGCATTTTGTATATTTGGACGTGCACCATGATGGATGTTAATGATGCATTTAACTCCTGCAAAAGAGCTAGGTTTTTTTGGTCTCAAATTATAGGATTGCAAACGATCGGAGCCGGAATATATTGAGAATTCTTCAGTTTTTTATTCTGTTCTTCTTCAAAAACCTTATTCACTCATTTCCAAAAAACAACTGAATCACTAAGACACACCAGACCCCCCCCCCTTCCCAACACCACACACACATAGACAGAGGCAGCGGTTGCCAGACGCAGGCCTGATTTTGCCCACTGCTGCTCTAAATGACTGTAATCACAAGATGAATAGCAATCAGTAGCCTAGTATGAGCGGCTGGCAGAACGCCTGACCCCGACCCCCCTCCCCTCGACTCTCTCCTCCAATCAGACCACTGCGTCCCATTCACAACCAAGCACCGTGCGCACTTAAAGCCGAGCACTTCACTCACATCTGATGGAGGAACAGCCCCCTCCCCTTTTGTCTGTCTGTGCTGCACTGACCGAAGTCGACCGGATGGATGAGGAGAGATGGAGCTGTGCAGTGAATTAAAGTGTGTGTGATGAAAAGTGATGATTTTATTAACAGCTGCTAACAATGTGTTTAAGTTAGATGGCAAAGAAATAAGAAATATGCATGTGTGTCTGTGGGTGATCTTAGTATAGCTATACTTGTGGAGATATTTTACAAGTTATGTCTATGCGAAGTGGTCGCAAAAGAGAAAAAACTGTTTATGTGTGTGTGTTTTACAAAAATACTAATAATTGTCTAATAATGTTAAATGTGATCAGAACTGACAAATTATATAAGAACAAGTGTGCCATCAAAGTTTCAAACTTATCACATTAATCATTTTAATCAATTTGTGAAATAAATCCAATACAAATTTTTAATGCAGTAAAAGGTTAATCTGTGATTAATAAGATTCAAAACCTATCAGACATCCACACACATTTTTTATCCTGAATTTGATAATAACTGACTATTTTTATTTAAACATTATGTATTTGCCAACTTTCAATACATTTTTCCTAGAGCAAGTTTTCAAATCCCCATACACCTGCACACTTTCCTAACCTTTGTTTTCTTCTTGTGTCATTAGCAGCTCCGTTGAGTGTGATTGCTGCCACCCACTGGTTTGATTTTTATAATTAAAAAAATGTTTCCAACTAAACCTTCTACAGGGCAAAACTGATAATGACACACAGAGGGCAGCATTGCTGCAGGAAATATACTACACAACATTTCTAGTGTCTGAACAAAAGTCTCAAGAAAGGAAGTTCCTGAGGAGAAGTCTCATTGACGTTTACTTCTGGAATAACAGATGAAAAAAGATCCTGGAGAAAGACAAGAAGCTACTGTCACATGACCACATCCTTCTACCCTCCTTTCTCTCTCTCTGTCTCTCCTATTCTCACCCCCAGCCTCTTCTCTCACTCTTTCTCTCTCTCTGCTTGACGCCAAGAGTTTATCTTCCCCATCCAGGCCCGTTGTCTCCTAGCAACACAGCACGGATCATTTAACTGCCCCTGCATCTGTTTTATTTTCCAGCTGTTACAGAGATAACGGGGTCTCTGCTGTTAGTCACTAGGGGTGTAGCGGTACAATAAACTCACTATACGAAAACGACTTTTTTTTCCGTTCACGTAATTTTATGTTTTTGTTTTAACCAAATGAGCTCCAGATAAATTATGCACAAATAAACTAATGATGTTTGTAAGAACTATGCAAAATACCATTACCAACTGAATGGTTTTGTGTGCCTCATTACCTGGAATTGTTATCTTATATAACAGAATACAAAAATAAATGTGCACATTTCTTAACAGAAACACTGCACATCACCATTCATCCTGCTGTTTACCTCACTAACTGTCAATACCTTAAACGACAAAGGAATATTTAAAATGGCGTAACTAAAAAAAAAGACACCCTGTTGGGTTTAATTCCCGCGCTTATTTATACAGTAGGAGTTCTCGGAACGCAGAGAATGGGTGGTTTCAGCGACTCACATTTTTTTAAACCGTGACATGGACGTAGCGAATCCAACGTTGGAGATGACACGGTGGTGTCTGTCTTTAGAGGATTGAGAAGGTTTTTCCTCAGCGTCATGGACGACCGGGTCTCCCAGTGTGTTGACTTCACGGTCATTATGTCGAACTTCTATGCTTAGTAGAGTTACAATATGAGCTAGAACTTCTATGCTTAGTAGAGTTACAATATGAGCTAGCTATCTAGGCTAATATTCCAGCATATGGTAACATTCACGTTTGATGTGTTACTGTTTACCGCCGCCATTTGAACACTTGAATGTCTCAAAGGTAATGAAGTGACACGACGCCTTGGTTTAATAACAGGCCATTCACAAGCATACCGCCACCTACTGTACTGGAGTGTGTAGTGTCAGTGGCTTTTTAAGATAAAGCAGCCCGTACTGCTATTCTATCGATTTCTATTTTTAATAGATTCTTGATGCGTCGTTACATTTCTATAAGTCAAATATTTTCACTAGTCCAAACACTCATCAATAAAAGAAATATTCTTCTTCTATATTATGAACAGGAAACACGTTTGGAAAACCTGGTTTCCGCTGTAAGGTGAAACGTTAAATGGCAAGGAAATCCTACTACAACAGCTGAGAATTATTTTTTTTGTATTGTACCTGTGTTGTTGTGTATTTCCTCCTTAGCTTTTATTTTTATGGCAACAGAAAAATTAAAATCAAACCGCAATATTGATAACCAAAGGTAATGCTTGTACTGCAGTTTTTGTGGTAATAACCACCGCAGCTGCTGGTGCTTCACTGTAAAAGTCACGTGGTTTACAGTGTTAGAGCTTTTCAGCTCGTCAGTGCCACACTTGAGTCAGGCAGCTGACTGGCTTTCAACCCAGGATCCAGCAGGTGCACAAAACACACCGCGCGCGTGCGCGTACACAATGGGGAACGACAGAACCCGGCCCTCGGTCTGAAAGCCTCACACAGAATCAATTAGCATTTAAATTAATGAAGCGCGTAATGAAGAGAGCGCTATCTCTGCTGCAGGAGCCGCTGTCAGACAGACGGGCGCAGAACTGATCGTGGATCAGCGTCAGGGAGACCCTGACGGAACATGAAAGATATTTAAATAGCCACTTTGTCTCCACACCCCCTTATTATTATTATTTTTTTAAATTATTATTATTGCTCAGAAGAAGTGCCAAACTGAAAGCAGGCCGACTTTAAATAAGACTGCAGCTCGTATGTAGTGTTAATATCCTCACATTTCCATATAAAAAGTGCCGTTAATAAGGCCCATAATTAAAGATAAGATGATTGCATGGAAAAGCCCCGTCTTTATCTCCCAACATCCATCGGTGCAGAGATGCTCAGAGGAGGCTGCTTCCGCTGCTGATGACCTCCACTGATTTATCCACACCTTCAGCTCAGCACAGTCACTCACAGCACATTTATTCTACTACAACGGATTCTAGGTGTAATACGCCTGTTAAACTGGCACCTAGACCAAAATAAAACAAGGAAAGAAGAAATATTTTATTTCCTTTAGGCCAGACGTTGCAATCAAAATAACAATAAATAAATTACAACAATATAATAATACTAATACAAAATATAAATAAATTAACACAGAAATTGCCCTAAATGCCTACATGGAAACTGTTATAAAATTCATTGTTATTGTTGTTATTGTTGTTATTTTCTACCACGCTAAAAAGCTGTAAAATATTTTTAGAATAAAGGGCCCAATAAAGCAGGGGTCCCTAACCCCCAGTCTGGGGACTAGTGGGGACATTTGGTACCGGGCCGCAGTGGAACACGAACACAGTGAAAAATGTACTTGATGATCTGTCAATGTTTCAAAACATCAGGTCATTCAGACTCTGTTACTGACAGAAGAAAGTCTAGAAGATTATTTATTTTGAAAATTAATTTCAAATTAATCCTTTAATGGTGGTGTGGTACCACAGTTGGCCCTGGAGCCCCACTTTGGACATGATGGAAGCAAATACTTTGTTCTATTTATATTTTATTTCCTGATTCTAAGATCTAATCTCCAACCTCTAATCTGACCCTAACTCTAATCCCAGCTAAACCATGAACCTTAACCTAACCCTTTATTATTATTATTATTATTATTACCCTTTATTTAATTATTACCCTTTATTTATTTAATAGGATCTAAAGATTGGTCCTGAACATATAATTCTGTTCCCACAAGTATATTCATAACTGAACACACACACACACACACAAATACATAGAACAGTGACACAAACACTGACAGCATGGAGTCAATCTGACTGTACATCTGCAGATGAACGGGGAGAACAGTGTGTGTGTGTGTGTGTGTGTGTGCCTTTGTCCACACAATGACCTGAGTGATGCACAACCTTCTTATCACCTCGACACAGCGACAACAGAGGACATCAAAATGTCCCCGCTGTGTTTCCTTTCACAACCCCGCTGAGAGAAGAGACGGGAGGAAGAAGAGGAGGAGGAGGAGGAGGAGGCTGGGAACATCCACAACATGACACACACTTCAGGGCCCGGTCCCTGTGCTTTTTAGCTACCGTGTCCTCTGCTGGGGGACACACCAGCAAATGCA